TTTCTGAAATATATTTCTTCTTCTTGTTGCTGTATAACAGTCTGGATCCCTTTTCTCCTTGATCTTCCTTTTTAGGCTTCCTTCTCCCTTGTTTTCCCCATTAACCTTTCTTTCCTTGTATTTTTTTTCTCACCTAGATTAGGATGAAGTTTTCACTGGATGTAACATGATCATAGCATCCGTGTAGATGCAGAGGAGCATTACAGCTCAGTGTTATCAGGTCACAGAAAGAACAGGCTTTTCTGCTAATCCTTAAATTGTGCTGTGTGCCGCAAACACCGTGGCAGCCTGTTTTCCAGTGAATCTCTGTCCTTCTCTGTTGTCAACTAGCACTCTCATTCCAGAGCCCAAGGAAGCTGGAGGACAGTTGGACACTGAGTCTACCATTAGTAAATTTGAAGACAGGTTGGGAGATCCTTCTGCTTTGTCCATAATTTTTCCAAGAAGTGTTTGTATGGGGACCAGTAATACCTGTTCAGAGCTGTAATTACAGTCATTTTTCTCTGATGTGCAGGGGAGAACTGACAAGGCATGGACAATTCCCCAAGTCTACATACCCTCAAAGCACAGACCACTCCTGTCCATATATGTCTGTTGACAGTTTGTTTCTGACCTGGAAGAAAAGCGTGAAGGCAGAGGATGGCAAGAGTGGTATGATATCCTTAGGTTTTTGCAGTTTTCCTTGAGTGACACCCTGTGCCCAGCTTGGATAGCACGTGTTTTAAGCTGGCCCAGCTTTCAAGGTCTGTTGCTTTCTTGGGTTTTGCTCTCATTGTCCTCTTGCACGTGGTTTATTCTGTGTTCTTTCCTGTCATGCTTTTCACAATGCCCACTTCCTGCCTCCCTCTTCAGGAAGCTGTTCACTGTCAGTTTGGGTTTTTTGCTCTATAAACTGTCGTTCTGCATCTGAGGAACCTGCTGTTCCTAGCAGTCCTTCCTTCCACTGTTAAAAGCAGACATCCCCCAAACTTCACAGTCCTTACAAGGGAAATATCTCCACTTCCTGCATAATGTAATAGCATCTGAGGTAATATCAGTGGGTAATTATCCATTCTGGAAATACTTCGTAGCCACCCAGCAGTCTTTATCGATTCAGGCACCTCTCAGAAAATGGGTCTATTAGGCATCACTGCAAAGCAAACTTTGAGAAGAGAGCTAAAAGCACATTGGGAATAGGAACATGACACATTCCTAGTCAGCGCTGCACTACACTGATGTAAACTGCCCCATAATTATTCATGGAACATTTACATTTGGACTCCTCGCTTAAATCTGTGTTTGAATGGGGAACATTAGCAGAAATGGTGCTGATAGTCTTTTCATCATGGTAAAACGCCTCTTGCTGTACCAGCTGGCATTCTGTGATCTAGGCTATGAAAACTCTGAAAACGAATCCTGACTATGAAATGGAACAGGGAACACAAGCTAAGGCTCGGCTAAGAATAATTTGTTATGTAATTAGTATAATGATGGGAATATATCAAAACCTGTACTCCATCAAGTGTGGTAGGCATGGGGATTCTTCTCATGTTTCCTTTCCAGCATGCTGGTTTCACCTGCTTGTGTCTTTCGGAGTTTCTCAGATTTTTCATTTGTTTGAAAGCAGCTGTTTTATTTCTAGAAAGTCTGATGGGGAGAGAGAAGTTCTTTTGATCAGACTGCATTTACAATAGTGACAGCACTTCAGAGAATAAAATGGATAGCTCAAAGGCATGTGCTGATTCGGAAGAAAATCCTTGATAAATCGGAGATGCAAAAAATAAAGCATTTGGCAAGTCAAATTATATTTAGGTGGTAACAGGCTTCAGAATATGAGGATGTAGAATTCTTTGATCAGAATTGCTTTTAGTGGGAAATCCTTTCTTCTGTCACTGTTCCCTTTAAGGTAAAAGATAATGTTCTCGGTGGAAGCAGTTTAAAAGGCAGACTTCAAAATACTGCATATGACTCATAGATATAAATCCTTCACAGTTACTGAATAGTAACTTCTGGATATTGGAAATCTAAAATAGTCACCTTGGATGGTGTGCTATGGTGTAAACCAGGTATTCCATATTATTTTTCTGCTCAGTTTTACTGCCCTTTGGAACATGTAATGACTCAGTTACCTAAGGTGATGTGGAGAAAACTAAAAAATAACTGTTCAAAAAACAAAGAGATAATGGCTCTCAGCTACTCAGAAGTGGCCTTTCATACATCTGAACTCAGCATTTTCAAATATTTATTCAAGCTTTTACTCTACATGGATTTGTACTTCAAAAATTAATACATTTATCTCAAATCCTGTGGAAAAATTGTACTTCTTTCTGGATTAAACTGGGACAGCAAGTATCTGTCCAATATCTTCACAGAACTTTCAATGTTTTGTAGTGGGCATAGTTTAAAACAAGCAAATGCTTTGAACATTTGGACTTTTGTAACTGAGAACTGCATTATTCAGGTAGTAACTTGCTATCTTGATTCCATCAGAATATTCTCTATGCAGCAGATCTCAACTGCCAAGTTAACAAGTAAAGGAACATGCTGCACTTTTCTTGTTGACTTGTCATACTTTTGCAGGAATCACTGATTGAATTCTTAGAGACGGTGAGTTCAGTGCTACTAGTAACATTTCAACTTATTTTCTCGGAGGAAGCTGACCAGAAAAGCTGCTGTAGTAAGTCTTCTAACATCATCACCTTGTGAACGTGGCTTTTTCATTCTCTTGGATTGAATCTCTAGCCTAGATGGGAAAACAGCAGCAGATGACACCATACATCAGTGATGCCAGCAGCTGAGGAGATGGCATGCTGCTGCCCTAAGGGCACCTAAGGGCTGGTACTGATGCTTTGAGGCTCTAGGTTGATGCAAGAGCTGTGCACAAAGCCAGAGTGTTTCAAGTTTTGTGCAGCTGCTTATAGTGTTACTGTAAGATAAGGCATCTGACTGCACTCTGAATTCAGGTTTTGACCATATAAAATTGCTGTCTAGGTGGGGTTAATAGTGGAACTGCTTCTTCTTGTACAGTTTTGCACAAATTTTCAACACAGAAATTGGGGAGCAGCACGGACTCCCCCTGCATTTAACAATTCTTACAATCTTGCAGTGTTGGTACTTATAAAACCTTGGAATGCCACTTTAGCAATAAAAATAGCAGCACCAAGTCTTTATGGTGTCTCCTTGTCTTCACTTAAATGTTATTACTCATTCCAGAAAGTCAAAACACTGTTGTTAAAATCCTTTCAGTATCTTTTTTAAGTGTCGGTGCTTGATGGAGCCTGTGTTCTCCACAGTGCAATAGATTTAGTAATCTCATTTCACAATTTTGGTACGTTTTCCAAAATAAAGCTTTTTAGGCTTGGTTTGGGGTTTGCAGGCTTCTTTCAATTTGGATTTGTTCCCCAGTCTTACTGCTCTGAGACTGCACTAATTTAACGTTTCCCTCTTAGCATATTAAGAAATATGTGCAATAGTGAGAGCCTTCCTACTAGGAATAATGAAAAAAACTCATTCCCTTCAAGTTTGTAGACAACTGAACAGTTAATTTTATTTTTCCTCTGAAGGTTCTATCTTCTGGCCACTCCTACATACAGTGCGTATCTTTAAGTCATTAAAGAACAAGTCAAAGGAGAGACCCAGGTAAGCTCTTTTTGTGAATTTATGCACAACTACCAAAAAATATGCAGCCTTTAATACCACACAGGGAAACAAAGCCAACCCATGCAGCAAAGAATTTAATTTGCAAGGTTTTAACTCCTTGCTTTGTTAAAGCAAATTAGCCAAGAAACACAGAATGGAGATGGGCAGGGTAAAGTGGCAATATTAACTTTTTTTAATAAAAATTTAGAATTTTGATTAATTTAGCAACTCTTGGAAGCTAAGTTTACTGGTTATTCTCTTAGTCTATGAAAACCTGAGCTACACATAATCTGGATTCCAGTATCCAGTGCTAGTGAACAACATCCATTATGCTCCTTGTTACAAGTATCAGGAAACAAAAATAGGAATTCTGAGGGCTGTGTCTAATCCCTGTACACACTGCCAATAACCTGCTAAGCCACTTCTCCCATCACAATATTCATATTTGCAGAGCTTTTATACTATCATTTCACAATATATTGTTTTCTGTCTTAATTCTTTCTCTCAGACCCTGACTTGTGCTGCAACTCCTTATATTGTACCCAGAGGTTTGTGGCCTTTACCTGCACTGAGATTACAGGAAAAAATAGACAAGGGGTCAGAAAAAGGTGTTAAGAGTGGGGAAAAGACCCAGGGGGAAAAAAAAACGGGGGGGGGAGGGAAATTCAGAGTACTTGATATTCTGCTGCCATACATTAGGATTATCTTGGACATCACAAAAAGGTTCATCAGCCAGAGGGTAGCCAGTCACTGAACAGGCTCCCCAGAGAAGTGGGCACGGTAGGAAGCCTGCAAAAACTCAAAGAATGTCTGGATGATGCTCTTAGTCACAGGGTTTAGATTTAAGCAGACCTGTGAGAAGCAGTGAGCTGGACTTGCTGATCCTTATGGGTCCATTCCAACTTCACAATTCTGTTTGTTCTTTCTCTGTTACTCCGGCTAGGAGCAGCAGTACAGAGCACTCATTACAGGACCTTTATGCATCCCTCCAAATGTTACTGTGTTTCAGCTAAATCCAGCACACCAGTCACAGGGGATCAATGACAAATGCTGAACAGCACAATCCATTGACATAAATATGTGAAACACTGGACACTGCAGGTGTGAAGCTGCCGAACCTAAATTATTTAACTAAACCCACTTCTTGGTGTTCTGAACTAAGTTCCCTCCTCTCTACTTAATAAACATTTCCTCAAAATAAATTGTACTTGTTCTTCATTTGTTTGCTTTCTGTTTAGGGAAGCTGCATGTGGAGGGTGCTACATAAAAATCAAATTAAGTTATATACATTATCAGCCATGTGATTCCCATATTAAATGTTCCCCTTTGTTTCATGCATTTAGGTGATGCAGCCCCATGGAATCATTCACTTTCATCCAGTAGTGCAGTTTCAGTACTTTATTTTGAAAGTCTCTTAATAGGTAGTTTAAAACAAGAGAACAAATTAAATGTAAAGTGTTCTTTATTAAATAACTCAAAAGAGAAAGCAAATTGTGCAGCTAAGAAAGACAACAGCGTGACCAGAGGATTTTTACAGCAGAAAACAAATCACAGCAAATAAACATTTCAGTCTAGCAGTCAAATTGTCCTCATTTCTACGGAGTTAATTTCGGTCCTCAAATTGTGACTTGTTTTTTAAAAGATATGCTGCTAGAAATTCAATGGGGTTTGGTGGTCTGCAAAGAAAAGAAAGTAAACCAAAAGCTATTACTTTTGCTCTATGACATTAGGTAGCTGTACAACTAATAACCTTCCCTTAAAAGCAACATAACTCCTCCTGAGCACTTGTAAGCATTGATTTAGGGATGACCAACTACCTAGAGTGACTGTAGATTCCCAGTTTATGCCTGATGAGAAAGTTTTTTGAAAGGGATCACAGTCACTGTTGGTTCAATATTACTGAACTGCTGAACATACCTAAACCTAAGGTATAGTCTCTAAGCATACATACTGTGTGTACGTGATTGGATATTACATGATTTGCCTATTTCTTTAACTCATATTAAGTAAAAGTGAATCTGTCAGTGCTTTTTTTTGCATCATTTTATTCAAGTGGTCATTGTGTAGCTTTGTGGATTAGAGTTGTTTTCATAGTTTCTGGCAACTGAAATTAACACAACAAAACTTCCAAGTTTGAGAAGTGCTGTAACTTGCAAGCAGTCAGTAATAAGCACCTTTGATCACTGGCCTTAGTCTGTAGTTTTTTCTTCAAAAAGCTCCTCCAGCTACTGTGCATGAATCCTGCTAATCTGGGTTCTGTCCCCAGAATAAATGACAAACTTACTTATTCCACACTAGGTCAAACCAAAGCTCTGGCAGGGAGCAAATATGCCTACAGAGAGCATAAAAAACCGGAATACATGCCCAGTTATTTCTCTGGGTCATTCTTTTGGCTTCCAAGCATGTACCAATTTCTTAGCTAGCAGTCTTAATAGCCCTGGGTGGATTCCTCCAGACCTTTGACCAGTTACCTTTTGAGCACAAATAAAATGTTAAATGTTCTCAACCTAAGGCAAAAAAATTCTATAGCTTAATTATGTGACCTGTGAAGGATCAGCTCCTATTGCTCATTATAAATTTGGTACCTGCTTCACTTCATTACTGCATTAGAAGAGAGAATGAACAGTCCATCCCAATTATCTTTGCTGTTGTGATTTAACAGATTCCCAATATATTCCCTCCCAGAAGTCTCTTTCCTAGGTATGGACTATTCAGTCACTCCGTATACAGGTAGCATTCCATACTTCTCACCACCTTGTCACTCTTCTTACTTTTTCACATTCTCACAGAACACAGGGAAATTGGAATCACACATAATATTAAAAACACAAGAACATCATAAATAGTGACATTGTGCTTGTTTTTCACCCCTTCAATTTCTAATATGTTTCACCCTTTCAATTGCCAAGTCCTAGCATTCAGGACTTATTTTTGAATGAGGAATGCATGGACATACATGTATACATGTAGCAGCTTAAAGATATTTTTTCACAAGGGAAATTGTCAACTCAGAATCTAACATTTTGTCACTGGTGTTTGTTACTACCCTCCTAAGTCCATAATATTCTGTTTATTTGGATTCAATCCTTCACTTTTTCCTAGTTCCAATTTCTCATAGCAGTATTCAGAGTTTTATGAAGTTCTGTACATTTTAATACAGATCAACTTCAAAAAAATCGCCCAAACAACAGAAACCAAAACACACAACCCTCTAACCTGTTCCATACAACTCAAGTCTCATTAACAAATTTTGTCACCCACTTCTTCAAATTGATATAAATGATCCTTTCCATGATTCTAGTGTAGAGATCATTTATATAAATTATATAAATACATACATAAAGGTTCTTCCTTTAATGCCACAGCAACTAGCTCTCTTTGAAAGCTTTTAGTGAATGACTGTGTGAGAAACTTCCAGAAATTCAAACAGACTATCATCTGCATACTTCTTTATGTGTGTTTGCTGACTCCTTCAATAAACTCCAAGACAAAAGACTTGATAAAAGTTGTGTTGATTCCTTACAAATATGTAATTTATCCATATGCTCACTAGCCTGGATGATAATTTCAACTGAATTCCAGGAATAGTCATCAGATCTCCTGGGCTGTTCCCTGAACATTTCTACATTCGTCAGAAAAAGAACTTAGCATCCATTAGTTACTTTCCAGTTTAATTTTAAGCAGAAGATCATACAGCAGAGCTGACAGTTGAGCTTTCTCCCTCCTGGGGGTTTATTATGTTCAGGTGAATAGCCAGTTTGACCTGGCAGTTTCATACTGTTAGGTTTTTAACCTATATGTACCCCAACCTCTTTATCAATGGTCCAATTTCACTCCTGTGATGAGTCTCCATAAAACAAACTCCTTCCACAGTGAAGATTAAAAAACAGAAAAGAAAAAGTTTGCCTGTAACACAGGTATCCAGAGTGTAAGTGTGGGGTATCTGCCTCAGGCTGTGTTTTACATGGAGTCTGCAGCAGAAGTCCCACAGACATCAGCTGAAGATCTGCACACACTGCTCAGGTGTATGCATGGACTAGACCTTCCTAGGAGCCTAATTAGCTGTCTGTACCCTGCAGTGCAAATTCACAACTCCTTTTAAAGCTGAGGCACTGCTGATAGTTGTTCTGACTGCAGGTGCTGTGATGCAATTATGGTCGTTCATACCAGCTTTTGATGCTATTTCAGCAAAACTGAGAGATGGGTACATGCAGTACCACTTGCCACTAGTGATGGTACAGCAAAAGGCTAGAAATTCATTTGCTGAAGATGAGCAACTGTCTGCTGTTACTCAAGCATACCTTTATACACTGACTTATTAAGAGATTTGGGGCACCTCATCAGCATATTTACTCATACAAACTTATCAGTTTGCTTATTACGGTGTTGACAGTGAGGTTCAGCCTCATCCTTAAGTATTTTAATTTCCAGCAAAGATGCATGGCAGGCCTGATTTGTCTGTCTTTCAGATGGCAAGCAGAACTCTTTATAACTCCACACTACAAAAATCTTCAAAACTAGAACTTCTTGCCTTGCTTCTGTAAGGTGAATTTTGTGGTAACATTAATTTAAAACAATCCAAACACTTCTCCCTCCCAAACTTCTGCAGTAGCACACCTCACTGGAAGATCACATATTCAATAAGTAACTCTTATCATGCCATATGCACCTAAGTGAGGAACACATCCTGCATGGTCATTCATAGGTTCATAAACTTGTTGTAATGACGTTCTTAGAACTAGCAAAACCGTGTGTGGTGCGTGAGGCCTGAAAGGTGACACACTGCCCAAGATTGAGACCTACTTTTTCCTATGAACACAAGAACACTGAAGCATCTCACCTCTCTTTTGCAAGAACAGCAAGTCCCTGTAGCAAGATAGGTACAACAGTCTGATCCAAGTAGGCACGTGTGGGTAGTGACTGAAGATCCACCTTCTGCTTTGATGCTTTCTCTGCGTTTAGTTTCTCATTTTCTACTATCCTCTAAGGCACAAAAGAAAAAGTGAATGAATGAACATTGGTAACAGCAGCCACAGTTACTTTGAAGTGCCTGTGCAAACAAAATACCCACTTCTCTGCAATCTTCTTTACCTCTTTTAAGAAAATTTAAGTGCACATTTTTCCTTGCACAAGAAACTAACCCAGAGGAACCTTCTGTTAAAGTCTTAAGTTTGGGGAAACAATGTTAGAAAGTTGCAAGTTTTCTAGAACAGAAGACGCCCAATCACTCTAATTTTTACTTTTGCATTTACGTTCAGAGATTTAAACTCTACACCACTAAGACAGGAATGACTACCAACTGTACTGGTGAACAGGCTCCTGTATGTAAGTCCTTCTAACACAAAATGCTAAAAGCACAAGTAATTCAGGTGAAGCCTGACAAAGAGGTCTCTGCTGAAGTGGAATACTTTGAGACTGTGCTCTAGTCAAGCATAGATGGACACTTTAAAGGAAACATATGCAAAAGGCTTCCAGGTGCTTGTTGGTCAAAAAGTGCTGAATCATGTTACACCACTGACTGTAGTTAAAAATTATACCCTACTACTGCCAGTAAACCAAATGTATTCAATGCAACATAAGTGAATCTACCAATACAGGACTGATGTATCCATTGTATTACAGTTCTGTGATGGAAGCTGAGTCACAAAAGAGGTTTAGGAACAGTTTCTGCAAAAACCTACAGAGTAGGAGCTCACAATGGAGGGAGACTGAAGGCTTTTCTTCAATGAGAAATAGTAAAGAAATGCCATAGAGTTATTATTCTAACCTACACACTTATCAATAGTGAGAGAATGGATTGTGTCTACTCCTTGTCAGCATAAGCAATTAAAAAGATTGGATTACTCTAGTATAATATTTCTACGGACTACAAAAGAATCTTTCCCTTTGATACTTCCACAGAAATACCATCAACTGCTTCTATACCCATCCCTGTAATAAAAGTCTGATTTTTTTCTGATATAATAGATTATACATATGTATGTCCTAACAATCACAGAATACCTCAAAAAAATCCATCTCATTAAAAGATTAATTATTTACTTCAGTACCATCCAGCATAATGGAAGCAAGACAACAGAAAATATGTTTACAGCAAGGGACAGGTATCTCGGCTTGATTTCCACCTAACTTCCTTAGGAACATTCTAACTGCTGAAGTTATACTTAAGGCTCAACAACTTATCAGGAACATGAGTTCCACTGTACTTTACAGCAACAAAATCTTTGTTACCTCCACATTTTCAGTGAGGCCGTATTCGGCGTGAGGGTTTTCTGGAACCTGTAAAACAACACAAGGTCAGCAAGGTGGAAACGCTCCTTTTATGCGCGTAGCATTGTGCACACCGAACATCCCCTGCGATACCTGTGGCTGTCCCTCCATAATCTGCTCCCCCTCCATGACTGGAAGCGTGGGCTTTGCCGGACGTGCAGGAAACCTTGGAAAGCTGAAATAAAAAAAGGCTGAGATGAAACCTTAGAGCGAGTTACGCGACATCGCACCACTTGCATTTACTAAGGCACAATCACCAGAGAGCAAAGGGAGCTGCTCCGTGCTCCCCCCGCGCCAAACTTGAACGCGGATTAAGGTTCGAGGTACCTCCGCCGCCCGCAGCGCGGGAAGCTGGAGAAATC